AGGAGGCTGCGGGTTGTGTGCAGGTAGGGACTGCTGGCTTGAGAGCTGGAGGTCCTTCCTGATGCAGATTGGGTTAGTACTGTTGGTGACAGACATGCATTGCATGTCTTTTTCCCCATCAAAACCTGAGAATGACTGGCAGTGAGCACAGTGGACCCACCCTGGCTTGGCTTGTCACTCAACTCGTTCAAGTGCTGCTTTCTGGTGGAGATGTGCTGCCAGTCCTGCTGTCCCAAGAGGAACACTGTGTTGCTCCAGGTCACAGAGCTGGGACCTTGCAGGCTGCTGCTGGCATCGTGCTTGGGCATGAGGCACAAGCTCAGCCTCAGCCTGTTCCTTTGTTTATCTGTGGATTAAAAATGACCCTTAGCTCTCAGGGTTGTCAAAGCTTAGTTGTAGTTAATTTGTCGAGTGCTTTGAGGTCCCTGAATGACACCAAAGAAGGGTAAAATATGCTACTTGTGCAGCTGTAAGCAGCAAGCAGCAGAGACCAGACCCCAGGGAGTGGCTCCTAGTGCAGACCTTGGCTGCAGAGCAGGCAGGAGCCTTGTCCTGGTGTGTGGCTGTGTAGGCTATAGGCTCTTATCCCTTTTCTTCATTGCATAGAAAAGCAGATCTGTCCTGCAACCTGGGGTCAAGGGCAACCTGTGTTGTGCTGAATGGAGGCCTGATCGTCTACACAGCTGGGGAGGGAGGTGGAGGATTAGGGAGATAATGGAGTTAATCTGCCCGCTGCACCGAGGCTGCAGTCCTACTGCTGGTCCAGAGCCTTGTGAGGAGCATCAGGCCCTCACAGAGCTGTCCTGCTCCCATCCCCTGTGTACCATTGCATTGATGTGTGTGTGTGTCACTCAGGTCTGCAGCTCCCTACTGGGCTGTCACTGCCTTCAGGTAAACTATGCATTTATTTGCTTTTTTCCCTCCTACTGATAACGCAGTGCCTACCTGCAGCCTCCATGCTCAGGCAAGGGGCATTAGGAGTATATATCTGGGGTACAGAGAGAGTGCTGCAGGAAACTCTGCAGGCACCTAAATCCATCCCAGATGTGTACATCTGCATCTCGTGTTGTATCTTTCTGGTATAAAGCTGAACAGCAGAGCAGTGTTCTTTGCTGCAGAAAGTCATGGGCAGGATATAAAAATGAGCCCTGGATGGGTAATGTTTGATGATAAATTAATGGTGTCTTCCTGTTGCAGATAGCATCAGGTGGTTTAATGGCTTGTTTCCAGGCTGGGGTGCCCTTTTCTCAGTCCCCATCTCACTGCTTCCTTCTGCCCATGTTGCCACAGTTCTGGTGGGAGCCTGTACAGCAGCAGGAGGGCTCTGATCCCTGTAACATGTGCATCAGTCACCATGCTCCCTACACTGCCTCCTTGCACGTCTGCTCTAACATTTGCCTTTTACCCTGTATACAGTACCACAGCAGTCTGGCTTCTCTGAATGGCCTCGAGGTTCATCTGAGGGAGACTTTGCCCAAAGACTTTCTGTCCTCAGCCAAGGCAACCTACAGCTTCACTCACTATGACTGCATCCAGAATGTGCTCACAGGTAAGTCTGCACTTGGTGGACTGTTTGGGGTTTGTGGTAACCTTTCCTCATGTTTCAGACAGCTTCTCAGACGCTGCTTGTTAAGTTGGTGCAACTGACACTTAAGAAATGGCCCTGAGTGATGGTACAGCAGTGTTAAGTTGTTTCTAGCTGGGAGAAGCAAGATCTGGGAGCTGATGGTAGCCAGCAGTTGGAAGAATGCTGCCCTGGGCTGATGGCAGACCACGTGCATGCAGGAAGCCCCGTGCACAAACTGCTCCTGTTCATTCTCATATTTCCCTTTTCCTGGCAGCTCCCCAGGCAACAGCCTGGCTCTCTGCAGCTTAGAAGAATCACCCTAGGGAATGAGAGAAACCCCAGTGATTGCAGGTGACCGCACCTCAAGTCTTCCTTGCGCCCCTGCAGTCTGGGTACACGTGGACAGAGTCAGTGGGGCACCCCAGCACCCCAGGCTTTGTGTGTGGCTGAGCAATATGCAGCTACTGGATGTTGAGGTTACACTGGGACTTAGGGTGTCATCCACTCTGCTCTGCTGACACAGGGAATGTAGTAGGAGAAATCCACAGCATTTTTCTGCTCGGGAAATAGGAGCATTCTTCTTCACAGCACAGGCTTTTAACACTCCCCTGCTTGTGTCCTGCAGCCAATGTGCCCCATCCATCTGGCCCTCTGGATCGGCACTTCCTGAGGGCTGCCACGCTGATCCACTCCGACTTCAATCAGCTTCCAACTGTTTCAGAAGTGATTGTTAGGTAAGGTGTGTTCATTACTCCCTCCTCTTCTAGGCACAGGGCTGCTGTTTAGCGTATGAAGTAGGTGAATGCTGCATCAGTGCTCTCTGGCACTGCTTGCTGAGGTCTGGCAAGTGCTGTCATCACAGTGGAGTCTCTTAGCAGTGGTTAGTTGTATCACCTTATTCCCTCATTCTTTATTAAGCAGACTGCTCTTCAGATGCAAGGTGCTTAATATTCTGCCTGTAGTGTGATCTGGGTGCTAATAAGCTAAAATGGCACTGATGTGAGTGAGCTGAAGGCATGGCTGAGTTGTGCCGTGGGTTTGGATTAAGATATAATGCTAGAATATTATCAGATCCTGGCAACATAAGGTTCTAAGAGACAGTTTTAAATATAGCTGTTCCTAATAAATTTGTCTCGGCTGCGAGCCAAAGGCTCACAGAATTGGCAACCTAGATTTTGTTTTCTTGCACGGCTTGTTGAGTTGGAAACACACAGTAATGTGCGTGGCAAACTCGATTGTGATGCGCCAAGCAAGATGGTCTTATCACAGTCAGAGCCTCTCCACGCAGCCACAGCTAAGGCTGCTTCTGTGCTGCAGCACTCTATGCTCCTGCATCCTCAAAGAAGGTGGTTATGTTGTGTGAGCAGAGATTCTGCTTGCTTGGCCACACTTGTTTGTCCAAAACGTGATGAAATAAAGATGCTTCTGGGAATTTCTGCTTCACTTTTTATGATGCTTGCCAAGGGAATGTGAATCATATACTTCAGTGCTGGAGACTCCTTGTTTAGCATTAGATTGACTGGCTCCTTAAATCTGATACTGGGTAAGCTGGCGCATTCTGTGTTGCCCCAAAAAAAGCAACTGTGTGTGTGAATCAGACTGAGTAACAAGATGACTAAAACTGCTTTCTTTTATGGGGAGTTGTCACAGGAGGGTGTCAGCAAACATATCAGTTGCTGCTTTCCGCTGTCAAGGAGGAATGCGGAGTCCTTTGCTTTGCTTCCTCCGAGCTCTCTCACAGGTAAACACTGAGAGTGCTGGTTTTTTACTCAATGACTTGAGCCTGTTTGGTTACAGTATCTGATCAGTGTCTTAGTTTCATCACACATGTGACTAAATAACCTCTGTGGTTCCTGTTGCAGGGTGATGTGCTGGGATTTGCTTATGGACAGCAGCAGTGAGTTAGGTGTTAATCTTCTGAGCTGGTCACAGGCCATGAAGGATATATGACCCTTTCTTTTAGGATCTAGTCCTTTCAGAAGGAAGGTCTGATTCCCTGTGGCCTTCTGGCAATACTTTGCAGGGTTTAGATGGATCTTGAAGTCCCTCTAACTAGGTGGGAGTCCAGTGCTATGAGCATTCCAGTGCCCAGCACTATAAGCACAAAACTGTAAGTCCTGACTTCTGCTTTCTCTTCTGTCTCCCCAGGAATGCCTCCACAGCAGTGTATGCCTGCCGGAACCCCGTCCAGGAGACCTACTTCCAGCAGCTGGGTGCTCCGCTCCGCAACTCGGGTGCTCCCAACCCTCAGGACAGTGCTTTCAGCTTGCCAAACAAGGCCAAGCAAAAGCTGCTGAAGCATGGAGTGAACCTACTTTGAACTGATGCACTGAGGTAGTGTATCTCAGCAATAATGAAAGCTGGTTCATCTCCAGTAACCAAATTCTCAAAGCTTTTTGTTCTGTAAGCACAATGCTCTGTGCTAACTGTGGTCTCCAGCCTGCCCTGATGAAGGAGCACTCTTATTGCCCTGCTCCTGTGCATGATGTCATTGATGTTAGCACTTACCAAAGACTGAAGATAGAAAATAGCTGTGTTGGGGTGTTCAGTTTACGTTGACTTGTAGGACTCCTTGTGGTGCTCTGCCACTACAGACAGACTCCTGGAGTGCCTTGACCAAAAGTAGAACCTCTCATTGCTCTAAGCTACACAGGACAGTGGATTACTGGGCAGTGCTTGCTTTCAAACCCTGCACTCGCCTTGAGTTCTGTTACTGTGTTTGTCCTGGTCAGACTTGGGCTTTTTTTATACCTCTTTATCTACAGAAATGATTCCCTGCTGCAACACAGTGCCTTATCTTGATTAATAGCTTGCAAGCTGACTAACTGGAATAGAACAAGTGCTGTGAAACTCCTTGCTCCCCTCCAGTAGTTGTCAGTAGGTTTTATTCTGTAGCTGTATTTAGCAAATCCTTGTCCCTCTGCCCATGCCTGCTCAGTGTTCTCTACAAGCTGCCCACCAGAAAGCAGAAAGGTGCTGCAAACCTCTGGCCTCCCCTGGGGACCCTGAATGCACTACAACCCTCTGCTCCTCAGCCACCCATGTCCTTCCCCTCCTGTTGGAGTACCGTGCTTCACCTCCTGGCTTTCTATTTGTTTGCACTCCATTGGCTGAGAAGGTAGGGACCAGCCCCTTAAGCAGATGAGACCAAAGAGGCTTTATAGCTCCTTGGCACTTGTCTTTCTGCTTGTCATCCCCTGGTCAGTGACTTGTGGGGGTAGGACAGGTAGTGATGGCTGCCAGCCCTGAGTGATGAATCCTGCCATCTGACTGTGCTGTGTTCTGAGATTGCTGCTGCTACGTACGTGCACATCACTGTGAAAATAAAAGTCTCCAAGACTCATCCAAGAGCTCTGTGTTGGCGGCCAGAGTCCTACTCACTCTGCCTTGTTTGTGGCTCGTGTTGGGGTTGGGTGACCTGAACGGTGCTGTCAGCTCCCTCCTGGCTGAGCTCCTGCAGTGATGTGTGCTCCATCAGGAAGCGCGGAGCTGAAGGAAAAGCCTGAGAGGGACAGGAGGGATTTCTGGCACAGCAGCAAAGCACAGAATAGATGCCTTCAGGAATCTTCTGCTGCAATCTGCTGTGCCGTCTGTTAGCAGTGAACAGCTGGGCTGGTTCCGTTGTGTTCTGCTGCTTGAGCTGCATCTGGCCTCCAGGATAGCCTCCAGGGTTTTGCAACAGAGGAACATGGTCTTTAGGGTAGGATAGTAAAGCACTCCAGGCTTAATGGTTGCATGGGAGGGAGGATATTTAGAAGGGTCATGTTAAAGTGCAATGATGAGGAGCAGCTGCTGCCCTGGCTGTGTCTTTCTTGTGGGGGTCAGGGCTGATGCTGAGCAGTGCCAAGCTGCCCTGGGGCTGGAGGGGGATGTATTGGGTACTGGCGTTTTTGCAGAAGGATGGCAAATGTTGTGTGAAAGGCAGCACGACATCCTAGAGCTGCTCCTGTTGAGGCTGCTTGCTGCCCTTGATGTGTCACTGCAGGCAGCTGCAAATGTTTTCCAAAATGTGGATTGGGGAATTTATTTATTTATTCTCCTTTTGGAAGGCCCTTCTGTCAAGCCTGAAGAGCACTGGATCTATGTGGTGGTTCCTGGTGCTGCTTTGGCAGGGGCAGTGCTGGTGGCTGATGGCAGGCTGGGGTCAGCTGTCCAGCTTTGCAGGGCAGCAGGGACCTGAGGAGTGGGATCAATACAGGGAGCTGCCAGGCAGCTGCCCATTGTGCTCCCTAATAGCACGGGCAGGGGGCTAGGGCTGGGGCTGTGCTGAAGCCATGCCCTCACTCACTGCATGTCAATTCAGCCTCAGCCCATCACCTCCTGCTCTGCAGCTCCTGTTATTTCCAATGCTTTGTTCCTTACAGCAAGCTGGGCTGCTGGGGCCAGCTCAGGAAAGGATCCAGCTCCTCTGTGTTTTGCTTTACCCTGGAACAGTTACACAAGCAGGCAGAGTCTGGTCTGTTTTCAGCACAACGGTTTATTGATAATCTTTACTTATCCACTGTAGGAATGTTACCAAACTGTCAGACAGTTACAAGCCAGCCTGCTTCCTCAGAGCCTCTTTCCAAATAATCAATGCGTGTAGAAATCATGCACTTCAGATATTCTGTAACAAGACAGGTGTAAAAAATATCTCAGATGTATTTGAAATCTCTGCCTTATCTTGCAATCTGAAAAATCTGTAAAGAAATCATTCTCAAGTCGGGTTGTGTCCCAGGAAAGGCTGGGAGGAGGGTGATGCTGACCCTGGAAACCTTTGCTGTACTCTCAGCTGTGTGGGCACTGCATCCCAGCCCTGGCTGTGGGATGGGGATGAGCAGCAGCAGGAGGGCTGGCTGCCACTCCTCTCTGCCATCTCTGCGGCAAACCAGAGTCCCTCTGAACTGCCACCTGCCCCTGCAGGCATCCTGGCTTCGACTTGTAAAAACCAAGGGTTGTAGGTAAAGCAGGGAGGACATTCAGGCATTGGTAATGCCTCAGGTGAGGTTACTAAGCAGGGCTGGCCGTGCACCGTCCCTTCAGCAGGGTGCGTGTGCTGCCTGGGCCGTGGGCAGCTAAGCCAGCAGGCATCACGGTACCATCCAGTGGTAGTGCTGTCCTATTGTGGTGCCACTGCAGCCCTCTGCCCTCTGTCTGTCCGTCCATCTATCAGCATGGGGGCTGCAAGCTGGGCAGGGGCAAGCTGAGCGCAGCACTTTGCTCCGCTTTGCTGTCTTGGGCATGTGAGCATTGTCCTTTTTGTGACCACAGGAAACTTTACATTATTACATTCAAACAAACACCCTTGTAACTCTACTTCTGAACACTGCAAAACACGAGCAACATAACACGGATGGGAGTGGGACTGCATCTAACCACGGAGGGAACGCAATGCACCGCCATGGTGGAAAATAATCCCTGAAGCCTTGATGGAAGGAAAGAGATGCCGCAGATACACGTCAAAGGTTCCATTTACAAGACCCACAGGAGGAGACCCCGGCACTGTGAGGAAGCCCCTGCCCTGGGCAGCGTCCACAGGCGGTGCTGGAGCTGTGGTGCCCTCACCCTGACAGCGTGGCGGTGATCTCAGCGTCCTGGAGCAAAGATGAAATCCAGCGCCTGGCGCTCGGCAGCTGCCACGTTGGGATGCCACAGGTCCACCATGAAGACCACACGGGGACCCTCCTCTGGGGGACCTGGGTGGGATGAGGTACAGGGTGAGGCACTGCTCTGTGCCCTGCTTGCAGCACTGAAGCACTTGGCGAGGTTGCTGTGTGCACCCCAGCACAGCGCACGTCCAGGGAGCACCGCCTGTACATTGCTGCCCTATGCTTCCTGCACACAGGGCAGGGTGCTCCCTGCAGGGCCCCTGTGCTGCTTTTTGCAATCACACACAGCAGGGCAGCAGGTGTGGTGCTGAGTGCCATCCTTGCAGCTGTAGCTCAGAGCTGCTGCTGTGCTATTCTGCTCTTTCCCATCCCCGTGGCTCTGAAATAAGCTGCGTTTCCCAATTCCATAGCAGGGAATATGTGGGAGCAACAGCTTTTGTTCTCCCACCTGCTTCCTTGCATGAAGCAGCTCTGTTTGGTTCTTCCATGCCATCGGCAACTAATACCGGCTAAGGCAGGCGAGGCAAAGCAGAACAGCCTCCAGCAAGCACCAAAGCAGCAAAGCAAACCCTATACCCTCCTGCAGCACTATGCTGCCACAGGATGTGCAAATTGTCTGCTGGGGGGGCAGCCCCTGCAGGTCTGGGGCTGGAGTCCCAGGAAACAGGGAGAAAGCTGGGGTAGAACCAGGGGAGGACAGGACTGCAGCCCCCAGCCCTATGCTTACCTTCATGAAAGGCGGTGTGCAGGAAGGAGTCATCAAAGAGCAGGCAGCGACCCTCAGCCCAGCACTGCGGCTCACCCCCCACTACCAGCTCGCAGTTGCTGGGGGTCTTCAGACCTTTGGGCACAAACAGAGGACAGAGGTGGGTCAGTTCCTGCAGGGAGCAGATCCAAAATGTGAGCAGTGAGTTCCATGCCGCTTACTGCGGGCAAAGTAGAGACTGAGGGGTGCCAAGGGGTTGTTTCCCTGCAGGAAGCAGGAGCAGCAAATGCTGAGCTCAGCACAGGGCAGAGCTCTGGGGGCTGTTAACACCACCCTGTGCAGCAGCAATGTCACCCGTGGCAGGGTTAGAGTTGCTGGAGCTGGAGCAATCACCTGCCCTGAGGATGCAGCTGAGGTACAGAAAGGAGCAGCTCTCCCATGACCTGCAAATGGTAAAAATGCTGCAAATGAGCAGAGTGGAGTTCTGTGCCAAATCCAAGCAAGCATAGCAAGGACTGCAGCTGCCCAAGAGAGCCAGGAGCACAAAAGCTGCTGGGTGTTTCCAATGTATGTTTCAAAGACTACAAAACCCAAATGCATTTCCCTATGCAGTAGCTCCAGCTGGATGGACCTGGATGCAGGCAGGCAGCCCTGGGGAAGCAGGACAGGTGCTATGCATGGCTCCTGCATTCATCACAGCAACAGTGAAGCCTGGGGAAACACCTGGAAAGATTCATCTATGCTGAGTGCTGTCCTGCTTTGCAGAGCAGCTGACCTGGAAGGGACTTGGCTCAAATGCAACCACTCTGTGGGCACAGCAGGAGCTGGAACAGGTGGGGATGTCAGTGGGAGTACTGCAGCCTGGCTGCAGGGTAGCAGCCAGCAAGCGGGTGGAGTGAGATGTAGGAGAGAGCAGGACAAAGGAGGGACCCACATTGCCTGCGCCTGCAGCTAGGACCTGGCTGAGCTGTGCCTGCTCTGTGCTCTGCCCCTCCACAGAGCGTATCTGCCCTGGGGTTGGCTGCTCTGAAGCACCCTTTGATCAGATCTGAGTCCATCTCCTGCTTCTAAGCAAAGGCAGCCACAGCCGGCGCTCACCCAAAGGGAGCTGGCAGAGCAGCAGCACTCACTGTTTGCCAGCAGCGCCCGTGCGGTGCCTCCCCCGCTGCCATCTGTGCTGCACGGGCTCTCCCCAGCACCCGTGGGGCTGGGAGCACCAAGGGGACACCCAGAGCCACCAGCACATGGCCCTGTCCTTGCCCCGGGTCTGGCATCAGGGTGGCACCTGGCCCGCTCTGGGCTCACAGCAACATCCAGCGGAGCGAGAACCAACCCTGGGGTAGATGGGGGCAGCTTGGATACACCCCACGCTGCCCTGAAGCAGGGCTAGCCCACAAAAAGCCCACCCCCCGGGCACTCACCCAGGTGGCAGCGGATGCGGATGTTGGTGGGGCCGTAGTGCTCGGCGATGACGGTGCCTGGGCTCAGCACGGAGATGCAAGCGTTCCCAAAGACATTGTTGCCAATGCAGGTGCGAAGGCTGCCGAGCAAGCGGTACGTCCGTGGGCATCTCCTGCAGTTCCTAGGCACGCACATGCCCTGGTTCACCAGGTAGAAGGTGAACCACTCCCCGCTGGGCGTGCTGTTCATTTTCCATCCTTGCGGGAGGCTGCAGTTTGAGAACGCTTTGTAGAGGCTCTCAAACTCGCACAGGATGGTCTGGAAGTTGCGCTCCAGCACCTCTACGTCGTGCTTCTGAGCATCCCGCGAGAAATAGGGGGTGGTGGGCAGGTCGGGCAGGAAGAACACCTCCGGCTTCTGGATGGAGGGCCGGCTGTTGAGGTATCGGCCCTGCTCGCGGATGCCCTTATGGATCCTGCCCATGCCGGACCACGAGTAGCGCTTGGCGTACTCCTGCAGGTTGTGGTAGAGCTTCTGGTTGAGGCCATCGTGGGGCGAGCAGCGTGCGCACTCGGGCGCGTGGCAATAGACGAAGCCGTTCTGCACGCCGTTGGCCTCAGCACCCTGCATCAACGCGTTGACGGGGGGGTAGACGCGGGGCTGCTCGCGGCCCACGTGGTAGCAGTACCAGACAAAGAGCAGCAGCAGGCAACCCACGGCCAGCAGCGCGCCGCCGTCGCAGTCCCGGAACGACTGGATGCCGGCGGCGATGAAATCCCGCAGCCCGTCCAGGGAGCAGCTCCAGTCCGGCAGCCACACCAGAGGCATGGTGGGGTGGTGGAGGGCGCAGGGGGGGCCCGGCGCTCAGTCCTGGTGCTCTGAAGGGGCACCCACTCCATGCAGCACTGCCATGGGGGTGCGGGGCCGCGGCCGGGCCCAGCTTGGCATGATCCTGGGAGTCAGGGGTCAGCAGCACCGTGCTCGCCTCATCCTGATATGCAGTGCTGGGGAGCTTTGAAGAGACAAACCCAGAGGTGTTATGGGGGTATTGGCAGAGGACAGTGGCCCAGCAGCCTGGGGTTGTTCCACAAGAAGTCCACACTCACTCCCAGCAGCATCGCCCATAGGAATTTCAATGCCAGCCATAAGGGAAGCAGCAGAGCCATCCCCCCCACCTCGCTCCCACTGCCCCACCTCCTCCTCTGCTCTTCCTCCAAATTTCTCCTCTCCGTCAGTCCCTTATCATGCCTGACATCGAGCTGATAAGGCAGCCAGGGGCCAAGCTCAGAATGATCTCTTAACAGCCCTATCTCACTACTCATCAATTTATCATCTTGATCTAAATGCTCTGAAACAACTCTCCTTCCAAAGGACTCTGTCCCTCCAAAGACAGCAGGGTTGCCACCAGCACTTGAAACCAGCATCCTCCACAAGCTCCCTATGACAGCCCCATGGACTTGCACCCACTGTAACGTAACATCCCATCCCTGCAGGCTTCACTAAGGTGCAGCACAAAGCAGAGATGTCAGCAAGGCTCCAGGCTGGTGGAGCTTTTGGGGCAGCAGAGGGATGAGGTGACACTCCTGTTTCCTGCAGCTATGTATGCCCTGTGTCCACTCCAAATTCTATCCCCAGAGCTTCTCTGTCTCTTTGTAGGAGCACCAGCAGGTGCAGGATGGGTCTATCAGCCAAGGAAGCTCTCCAGCCTTTCCCTTCTTTCTCTGCTGAGGTCCTGCAGCTCCTTAATCTTTGTGCATTTCCCCACAGATAGCAAGGGGGACGCGGTTCAGCTGGTGGAGCAGTGGCAGGGGCCTTCCTGCATCTGCAGCCCAAAGACAGGGGCAGCTCTGCTCAGATGGGAGGGACATACACACACCTCCCCACACCCTCTGCCTGGGCCCTGCAGTCCACGTGGCACTTTGGAGCCGCATGGAAATTTCAAGACAGCTTCCCTCCATCCCCGGTGGCTGGAGTCCCTCCAGCTTCCCCAGCACACCCCTCCTCCCAAGCATCACCATGGGCCAATGCCAGGGGTGTTCCCCAGGGTGGCACGACCCCATGATGCCACTGGCATTCAAAGCAGCAATCCAGCTCTGGAACAAAGCAGGGAGACTGGCATTGAGGACCTTCTGTGGAGGCTGCCTGGAGGGGTCTAACAGCCTTGGGGGCCTCCACCATGGGCACAGCCCTTCTGCTGGCCCAGGGCTGCAGGCAGCACTTCACATGGGGCAACCATCAGGGCAATGAGAGACCAAAACCACCTGGCACCCATCCCGACTCCCCAGGAAAAGGCTGGGAAATGGGGTTGGACGCAGCCCTGCAGCTCACTCCCGTGCTGACACAGGCAGCCCCACGGCTGTGCTGGTGTGTGGCAGAGCAGTGCCCCAACCCAAGGGGCACCCAGGATGCAGGAGATGCCCTGCTCCACTGCACGCAGCTTTAGCACAGAGCGACCACAGCCTGAGATCCATGCATCATCAGCTGATAACAAACGGCAGTCGGTCTCGAATAGCGCCCATCAATTCCCCGGTGCCCCGAAGTTGTGCAGGACGTGGAGGCGAGCTCCGTGCCAGGCAGCAGCGGCGTTACGTAATGAAGCAGAGAGGCTCCGATGCAGCACCAAGTTACATCCTGACAGCTTCGCAGGGCACCGGCAGCTCTGGAAAGAAGCGGCTGTGGGCCGGGATCCTCACACCGCGTGCCCCAGCAGCCAGGCTGAGCGGCGGGGATGGCCTCTGCTCGGCGGCATCGCGCTCTGCTCTGCGGGCACGCGAGTGCCGGGGCGAGGCCGGCCGTGGGCTGCTACTACGGAGCTGGAGCGCGGCCAGGCAGCTCGGTGCCACCCCAACGGTGCCGCTCGCTGCGACGGTGTCACCCCAATTGGCATCGCCCGCTGCAGCGCGCCCGTGTCACATCGGCGGCACCCGTTCCCGCGGTGTCACCCGCCGTGGAACCCCAGTCACGGCTGCATCCCCCGCGCCGAACGGCCCCGCATCCCGGCCCCGCAGCGCCCGGCCCCGCCCGCCCCGCGCTGGATGCGGCGGCACCGACCTGCTGCTGCTGCCGTGCGGGGACGTGCGGGGCCGCCGCTCCGCTCCGCTCCGCTTCGTTCGCCGCCTCCTCGGACCACAACTCCCAGCAGCCCGGGCAGGAGGGGCCCGCGCCGCCCCCGCCGGCACCGCGCCGGGCGGCACTGCCTGCGGGCCCCGGGCCACGCACCGCCCGCCCGGCCCCGCCCTCCGCTGCGGCCGCCCCCGCCCCTCGCCGCGCCCCCGCGCTCCCGCACCGCAACCCCCGCACCGCGCCACCGGGAGCGGCGGGGCTGCGGCAGGCGGGGATGGGGGCCGTTCCGAGGGGACGGGGCTGCAGCAGTCAGGATGCGGGGGACGGATGGGGGTCCCGGCCCCAGGGATCGTGCATGCACTGCAGAAGGGCAGGCGCTCGGAGATGCAGCGGTGTGAAGCTCCAGGGATGTGGGCATCTCGGGTGGAGGAAATGCCGCCTGCAGGGATACAGGACGCTGGGGAGGCGGCAGGCGGGCTGCAGGAGCCGCTGCTCCCCGAGGATGTGGGTGTCCGGTATGCGGGCAGCCTGGGGTGCAGGGGGTGCTGGATTGCGGCACCACTGGGGACACGGGGCCCGGGGGGTGCGCAGTCCTCGGGGCTCACAGCCAGCTCTGCCCCTGCGGTTAGGAGGGTCCCTCAGTCTGTAAGTGACAACGGGACCGCTGTCGGTTCCGCCCAGCGGAGCGCGCCTTTCAGCCGCTCCATCCAGCCCGAGCGGGTCGGCGCAGCTCCTCTCTAAAAGTTCCTTTCCTAAACGGAAAACTTGAACGCTTCCACACTTTAGCCCTATGGAAGAGACTAGCTCTGCGGGTCGGCTGTAGAGGAGGACATCGGAGGTGTCCCTTAATGACTCTTAAGTGTTGGGGAAGAAACAGTTTGTCTTGAGACTTTCTGCTTCCTGCTTGCTTGCCGTTTTCCTCCCCAGCTCCTCTGTGCCGCAACCAGTTTGTGAGGGAGATTTCCCCCAGCCGGGAGAGCTCCGAAAGGGGGGAGAGGAGAGGACGGCCTGCTGCCCCTACCCTCTCAGCTCCTGCTGAGAACGTTCCCGGTGCTCTGGGAAGGCCCCGGACCGCGGGATGGCCACGTGGAACCCTGCCTGCCCTACGAGCATCCTCTGTGCAGAGGGATGCTGGGGAGGGCACAGCTGCTGCGCCCAGACGGAGCTCGAGCCGTGGCACACAGCTGAAGGCCAGAGATTGGCTCCTGCTTTACGTCATCGAGGAGAAGCAGCAGCATCGAGGTTGTTCTTTTTTTTTTTTTTTCCCCCTTCATTTTCATTCTCTTGCCATCTCTGTCCAAAAATAACCCAAGCTTCCACCCCGGGGAGCGCTTCGCATCAGAGCTTTGGCTCCTTCACCCTCCTGTGCATTAGCCTGACAGCTACTAAATGAAGCTATTAGCTCGTGGCACATCATCACCTTTTTTAAAAGCGCGTTTTTCAGAGCATGTGGTGATGTCATTGGACTGCGTGTGGAGCTGCACAGATGCATGGGAGGGCTCAGATCCCTCAGCACAGGGCATTGTCTGTGGGGCTGTGTGTCTCTGCCCCCCCCCCCCCCCCAGCCAGAGAACCCAGGCAGCTGCTCCCCCTGCCCTTCTGCACATCGCCCAGCAGGATCCCATGGGGAGTCCCAGCATTCCTAGAGGACTCAGCAGGTTCCCATCAGGCTCCCAGAGGGGGTCTCAGCAAGGTTTTGGGGATCCTAGAAGTCCAAGGAAGGTCCTGCAGGATTCCAGGAGTCTCAAGGAAGCGTCCTAGGGGTGTCCCAGCTTTCCTAGATGTCCCAGTGGGATTCAGAAGGGGCCTCAGCAAGGTCCCAGGGGTCCTGGTGCTCCAAGGAAGATGCCGGCAAGGTTCCAGGGGTCCCAGGAGGGTCCAAGGAAGGTCCCAGAATTCCCAGAGGTCCCACAGGGATCCCAGGAGGGGTCTTGGCAAGGTTCAAAGGGTCCTGGTAGTCCAAGGAAGGTCCCTGCAGGGTACCAGAAGTCTCAAGGAGGGGTCCCAGGGGGCTCTTAAGTTTCCCAGAGGTCCCATTGGGATCCCAGGAAGAGTCTCAGCAAGGTCCCAGGATTCCCAGAGGTCCAAAGAAGGTTTCAGAAGGGTTCCAGGAGTCCCAAGGCAGAGGTTTCAGGGGGTCCCAGGGGTGCTGCCAGCCAACTAGGCTGTGACAGAGCAGCCACATATGGACTTATAGCTCAGAGCTTGTCCCTACAGGGAGCCATCACTGCTCTGTCCCTTGGACACAGGCTGCTGGGGAAAACACAGGGCTGCACCACGGCAGGATCAGGCCCCTGGGGCATCATCACCATGCAACAAGGTGAGCACTGTGCCCAGCCCCAACCCACTCCCATTGCTACAGCACAGCGAGGCCATGCCACTGCCTTTTTCAACAGCTCTGAGCGCTGCAGAGTGACTTAGGCTTTTAAAAACACAGCACAAGTTGTATTAAGGTTACACCGAACACTGCAGCTTCCCACGGAAGTACTTGATCATGTTCAAAAATATTTAATCCCAGCAATTTTCACATTGTTCTTATAAAAACAGACATGTATGAAGGGAAATGAAATGCTTAGTACATTTTTTGGCACTTTTTTTTTTTTTTTGTAGTTTTTTTTTTTCTTTTCTTTTCTTTTTTAACCTTTACAAATTACAAACACACATTCGTTGTTTTTAAAGGAAAAGAAAACCAAAACCAAAACAAACCAAAAAACCAATCTAAATCTCAGCTGTACACTGCAGAGATGCACTAACCATCCCTAAACTAAAACAGACTCCCCAACATTGTCGTGGTTACGTTGCCATTTTACAAGGACAAAAGAAGACAGCAGCAGCCCGGGACGTGGTGGGGCATCGCTGCCCACCCACAGCCCACCGCCCAGCTCCGGGGAATGCACCCAAAGTGAAGGAGCACGGGGGATGCTGAGGCCCAAAGTGAAGCTGCTGTGGGGTCCGCCTCCATCAGAGAGGTGCTGAGGGCTGATTCTGCCCCTCTGCTCCCCATATCCATGCTGGAGCCTGGCCCTGCTGCTGAACAAATCTCCAGCTTCACCCCCTCTCCTTGTCATCACCTGGGTGGGCTTTGCCCGTGAGCAAAATGCAAACCTTGAGGGTCCCAGTTGTTTGGGGACACGTTGGCCCAGCACCCCAAGGCAGGTGGCAGCCCCCACAGGGCCCAGTCCGTGCTTACCCTGAGATACTACCGCGGGGCAAAGGGGACAGCAGCCTGCAGCAGTGCTTGGGCTGTCCTGTCCTGATGGTGGCACTGAAGAAGAGCAGAGAGCAGCAGTCCCCTCACCCCAGCCGTGCCACCCATTCCGTGGGTGCAGCAAACCCTCGCCTACGTCAGCTCTGAGCAATCAATTGCAGGCTCTTACAATGGAGACGCTTTTAATTTTTTAACAACAGAATTACTGCAAAACCCCTCTGTGGGTGCGTGGCTGGGGGATGGGGAGATGGAGCTCTGTCCCCATGTGCCACTGCTGCCCACCATGGGGGTCCGGGCGCAGACCCCGCGGCTCTGCAGCACACCTAGCGCAGTTTAAATAGAATAAATACAGTGAAGAAAACAGTAAAATCTTCAATAAGGAGGCAAAAGGAAAGACAACAGCAGGTCCAGGGGTCCAACCAAACTTCACATAGTCTCTGGATTAGTTACTGAGGAAGTTCTATGAGAGCACATTAAGTTCGCAGCTGGAGACTCTCTTGCCTTTATATCGAAACTTCGTATTCTCTTGTTTCCTGGAAAGAAAGAAAAGCCATTTTAGGGCAGCAGCTGTGATTTGGGATGATCACCCCATTGGATTTGTGGAGCCAGGAGTTGGACTAGGTGATCCTTATGGATCCCTTCCAAATTGGGATATTCTATGATTGTACTGATGAGAGACGCCCTGGGGGCCACCTGGGGAGGGAAGGCACAGCAGCACTCACCCCTGTCTCATAAATTGGGTTGTCAAACTCCGTTTCTACCGTGATCTGGCTGTAGGGGTGAGAGTACATGAGGGGCAGGCGGAGGCTGGAATAGTACCGGCACCTGGGGACAAGGCAAGAGTCACTCAGATGCACAGCCCTGCAGCAATGCGAGACCCTCCATGTGCCCCCTGTCAGCCTGGGGCAGCAGGGGATGCCCTGTGCTGGGCTTTGGAGCACAGTAGGGCGTGGTGATGCTCCCTGGAGCTCTGCCATCCACACCCCACCTACCTGGTGATGTAGATGTAGGCTCCTCCCAACAGCAAGGAGATGATCAGCACTGGGATGAAGATGGCCAAGGCCATATTTCCCCCCTCCAACGATGTCTCTGCAGCAGCTTCTGCTACTAAAAGGACATGACCTCTTATGCTGGCTTTTTCCCAGCACAATCTGCTGCCCCTCTGCCTCCGCTCCTCCAGTCCCTCACATGGGACTGGGGGTACTGAGGGCAGTGGGCAGGTTCTATTGGCTCCCTGCAGCATGCACCTGCCTCAGTCCCAATGTCTCTGCAGTGCTGTGGGCTTTGGGCTGGGGAGCACCTGGGGGTGCCAGGCTAGAGCGCAGGGGTGGTGGTGAGGTGGGGCTTGGCCCTAGGGAGTTGTGCAAGAGGCTGATCCAGCAAATGTGTCACTCACCTTCCAGAGCATGCTCAAAGCTGTCCTGATTGACTGGAAGAGAAATGGAGAGTTATTGGGAGGTGGCTGGGTGTGCACTGGGTGCTACAGCTTTGCATGCAGGGGGATTCACATATCCGTACTGAGGCTACCATAGGAATCTGTGCCAGCCTTTCCATGTCCCACTTAGTCACAAAATGTGCTGCACTTAATGATCATTTGCTCTTTTTAAGTGCTCACACAGAGGCTGAGCAGGCTGGGCAAGAAAATGTGTATGATGTCTCTGCCTGGAATGGTGGCACCAGCCAGAGGTGGTGGATGCTGCCCATCCCAATGAGTACTCCCCACTCCAATAGGTGCTGCCCATCCCAATGGATGCTCCCCATCCCAATGAGTGCTCCCCATGCCAATGGGTGCTCCCCACCCCAATGGGTGCTGCCTGCCCCGCTATGCACTACCTTTGCAGATGGGCAGTGGCCCACTCCAGTGCGATGGCTGTCCCAGTATGCACTTGATGGTCACCTCCCCCATGAGCTCGAAGCCCTCATAGCACATGAAGGTCAGAGACTCGCCGGGCAGGTAGAGGCGTTTGTAGAGGATTTGGTAGCCATTTTCTGGCAACCCTGGGTTGTCACAGGCCAGAGACTCCTCCGCTGGAAAGGAGCACATTGCAGCGTGAGGCAAGGGCTGAAGGGAAGGAGGCTGGAAGTTCAGCTGTCATCGAGCTGTAGGGGAGGGCTGCAGCACTCACAGACGCAATGTGGGAGCCGTGAGGTCCAGATGGGCGTCCCGGTCTCGCGGCTGTAGCAGGTCAGCAGTGAGCTGCCCTCCAGCACGAAGCCAGGGTTGCAGGTGTACTGGATGGTGGTGCCCACCAGCAGCACGGGGTCAGAGATGAGGCGAGTCGAGTGCTCCACCTCTCCTGGGTCTGTGCAGTACATAACTGGGGAGAAGAGGGGACATGGGGTGGGTCCTGAGGGCATGGAGCACATTGCTCAGGGCAGAGTGGGGCAGTGGGGCACTCACTCTTTTCACAGAAAGGAGGGTCACTGCTCCAGCTGAGGTCCCACTGGCAGGTGAGCGTGTCACTGCCCACGATGTCATAACCTGGGTCACACTGGTAGGTGATCTTGGCCCCTCTCACCAGCTCGGTGTGCGATGTGGTCTTCCAGCCGTTCTGGATCTCGGGGAGGTCGGAGCAGGAGTCGTTGCGGGAAACCTCTGTGGGACAAGTGCTGACTGTCACTCCATGCACGAGGCTCCTCGCAGGGTGTGCATCCCACCCTGAGCACCACAGCCCCGTGAGCAGCCCTGCTGGTCTGCAGATGGCATCAGGGATAATGGGGCCCCTTTGGCAGTCACTCCAGAAGTAACCGAGCCAGAGCCCTACAGCAGGCTGTGGGTTCTGTGGGGGGTTTGCTGGGGCTGGAGAGGAGCTGTGAGCCAGAAATCATCCCCAATTGCAAAACTGTCCCCTGCAGACCCTGCTCCAGCTTCATGTTGTCCCCTTGTGCTGTCAGGTTTGGGGATGATCCCAGCACCCCACTCTCTCCCTACCTATGTAGTTCATGATGAATCCTTGGCCCTTCCCAAAGATGAGCCCAGCAGGGTCAGAGTGGAACCGGATAGTGAGGTCAGGGCTGGAGGAGTAGAGCTTCTGGGGGCCGCTGCTGCCGACGTACTGCCCCAGGATGCGGGCAGAGAGCTCGTCCCCATCATAAATGGTGAGGATGTCACTGTTGGTGAGGTTCAGGCTGGAAAGAAGAGCTCGGTCAGCCTAACAGGGAACCAGCAGGATGCTGGGTGTGGAATGAAGGGGCAGTGAGGTGACCTTCTGCCTGACACTGCATGCATCCTGTCTGTGTGCTTGTCCCGTCCCCAGCAGCTTGGGAAGTTCTGTGGGGATGCCTATTCTGAACAGAGCAGCAGTGCTGCTCCTCCAGCCCTGGCTCCAACTCTGGCTGCAGCTCCATCACCAGCTGCAGCCCCATCATCAGACCTGGCCCCATCATCAGCCCCAGACCACTCTCCCTGCTGCAGACAATGAGAAAGAGCCGAGGCTTTCCCCTGCTACTCCAGGCCCCCCATTGGCTTTGGAGCTGCATGGGACTCTCAAGGACACCCACAGAACACAGCTTACAGATTTCAGCCGAGATCCCCGTGGGGAGTGACACCTGCCCCATGAGACAAGCGGTGACCCCCGCGGTGACCGCAGTGCCGCAGTTCTGGGAATCAGCAGCCCCAGCAAAGCTCTTCCCGGTGCCGGAACCGATCCGCTTTGGCAGCCGCTCGCCCAGCATCCCCGCCGCCAGCAGAGAGCAGTGCTGCCCCGCGGATGGAGAGGAGCCCGCAGGAGAAGTCTGCACCAGGTCTGAGGCGGCAGCAACCCCCCGCTCCGAGCCTGGGCTCCGGGTATCCCATGCAGTGTCCCATGCAACATCCTATGCAAAGTCCTATACAATGTCCTGAACCATGTCTCATGCGATGTCTGATGCAATGTCCTGTGCAATGTCCAATGCAAAATCCCGTGCAACGTCCCATGCAAGGTCCAGTGCAATGGCCTGTGCAATTCCCATGCAACAGCCCAAGCAAATGTCCTTGTAAGGCCCTGGGGCTGAGCCCAGTGCTGTTCCGTGCCCAGCTGAGCCAGAACATCCAGCCCTGTGCTGGGCAGGATCAATCCCACTATGCTGCTCAGCATCCTGGGCCCGGGGTGTGCTCAGGCACAGTGGGACCCCCACCCCACACATCCACCCCTCTGACTCAGCCTTGTTTGGAGATGCCTGAGCGGATCCCCGAACATTTTATTAAGAATGTTCTTGGAAGGCACCCAGTTAATCCCCATGGCAAGCTGACATTTGTAGTAAATCTCTGCTTTCTGTCAAACATGATTTTCTCGGTGACATTTATGTCTGATGACTTCAAATCGCCTGGTCTCCAGTCCTGCTCAGCCCGAGAGCCCACAAATCCAGCAGAGCCTCACGGGAAGCTCTGACTTGTGATTTTTACAGAAAGCTTTAAAGCCTTTTTGACTCTAAGCCCCTACTTGAGACATGCCCTCCTCTTGAAAACCCAAAATAGCACTGAGGAGATTCCCTTTGCATAAGAAGCATTACCATGCCCAAGGCTCCCTGCCTGGAGACAAAACCCATTCCTCTTTGAGTTACACCCAGATGCAGTGAGGAGTGGGTGCTGCAATGCAATGGGTGGTGTAAGGCAAAGGATACTGCAATGCAACGGGTGCTGCAAAGTGATGGATGCTGTAATGCAAGTGCTGCAATGCAACGAATGCTGCAAAGTGATTGATGCTGTAATGCAATGGATGCTGTAATGCAATGGGTACTGAGCACACTGCAGGGGATGAGAGAAGGGCAGAAGGGGCAGAACAGACACAGAGCTGGTCCCTGGGAGGAGGATGCTGCAGGGAACTGTGCTGGGCAGGACCAATGGCAGGATATGTGCCGATGTCTGAGAGCAACTCACAGTTGGATGTCCAGAAACAGCCGCTTCTCCTCACCCACGTGGACTCTCCAGATACAATCCTCTCCCTCCGTGTAGGGCTCTGGCCAGTTGGGGGACAGGATCACCCCGGCCATGGCTGTCAGCTCCCCCCCACACGTGGCTGTAGCAGAGAGGCAGGGCTCAGCCCTCGTGTACCAGAGCATGGCATGGCCCCATGGTGCGGGCACTGACCTCGGCACAGCGGCTCCGTGTCGTTCCAGTACGGGTCCCGCATGTTGACACACTCGATGACAGCAGGACCCTGCTCTAAGGAATGCCCGGGGTCACACGTGAACTCCACGGTGGTGCCCAGGTTGTAGGTGGGGTCGGAGGTGGTAAAGTTCCCATTCTGGATGTAGGGTTCGTAGCAGTGGCCCCGCTCAAAGGCTGCAGGAAAAACCCCATTAGCGGTGTGCGCATGGGGGCTGGGGAGCAGCATAGCCCCATCCCCAATGCCCCACCACCTGCCTCCAGCTTTGAGTTTGCAGGAGGAGTCCCAGGGCTGCTCCACCACCCCACCAGGAACCTGTCCCTCCATCCCTGCCATGCACAGCACAGCCCCCTCCACACAAATGGTGTTCATTACAGGCAATTAGGATTAACAACCGTTTATCTGTCCTGAGCCATGCAGGCTTAACCAAACCCTACTTCTTCCTTTGTGTGTCAGCTTCAGTAATGCACTCTCTGTGTTGTTACTGCTGTATTTACCAAGCAATCTTCCCTGGGATTACCACCTGTCATCGAGCCCGCTCTTTTCCTTTTTCTTGCTCGGGAATGCATTCCCTGAAGCTTCTGCAGCCATAGGGAGGTTCAGCTTGCCATGCATGCTGACAGCACCACAGGGACAGCAGCATGCCGAGTGTTTGTGACTGACCCCCTTCCTGCAGCCCCCCAGCCCACAGCAGAGCATCACCTTCGAAGCGGATATTGAAGGCAGTGGTGGCGGCTGGCTCCTCGGCGAGGAAGTCGATGCGGATGGAGGAGTCGTCGCTGATCACCCCCTCGAAGGGCACGCTGTCAGCACGCAGCGAGTCGTAGAGCACTGCCGAGCGGTTGCTGTCCCCGCTGTACACCACCATCCTGTGCAGGGAGCTGGGGGTCAGCCCACAGAGGGAGGAGTGGGGGAGGAGGGATGCAGTGCCCTGGGGATGTGTGGGGTCCCCCAGCCCTTCCCTGTGTGCTCCCAAAATCCAGCAATTGGGAGAGGTGGTGCCAATGAAAATTCACCAACCAGATCAGTTTCTTTTACCTATATCTTAAGCTGGATTTTTACACTTTGATTTTACTATGGGCCATAAACCTGGCTCACTGCCTGTTACCGGGCTGAATTCCAATGCTTTCTAAACACAGGTGTCAAAACCACGAGGTGTGCTTGCTTATGTGGATGCTGATAGCCTGGATGTGCAGCACGAGGTACCCCTTTGTGCGCTTGGACACCCCATTAGGAACTGGTGTCCCACACCCTCTCTTCCTCTTGCTCCCACCCCAACCAGAGCCAAGTGCCACCAACTCCTCACCTGTCCCTCTCAGCCAGCAGCAGCTTCTCGAAGTGCAGGTGCAGCTTCTGGCCCGGGGGTGCTGTGATGGCCCACACGCAGTACATGCTGCCCGACTGGTTGCCCGCAGTGCTGGGCGAGAGGACACGGCCGATGGTGGCATTGTGCACGGTGCCTCCACAGGGCGCTGCCGGGCAGAGCGGGGCAGGTAAGGGGCAAAAAGGGGCACAGCCCCCACGTCCCCCCTCACCCGCCTCAGCAGGGGACACATTCTGCTGCCACAGAACGGCTCGAGTCGCACAGCTTGGCATCGCTGTCAGGACTGCATTCAACGAGCAGCACAAAGCACCCACATCATTTTTGCTTTGGGGTTTCCCCCTGCGCCTGTGCTATTTGCATGCCCACACCTGAGCAGATGGGCTCGGGGCTGCTCCAGTGTGGCCGGGATGCGTTGATGCAGGTGAGCATATGGGGGCCCTGCAGCTCGTAGCCCAGATGGCAGTGGAAGTGAGCGATGCCGCCCGAGTGCAGATCCATCACGGTGACATCTCCGAAGTCGGGTCTTCGTGGGAAGCTGCAGCTCAGCATAAACACTGCAACGAGCACAGAGTGCAGAGCTCAGGGCTGCCTGCTCCCAGCCATGCTACATGTCCCACACCACAGGCAGAGCTTGCTGTGGGGCAATCTGCATGCACCCAGCACTGCTTTCCACCTGCACTGCTTTTGACCAGACCCAGTTTCTATTTTAGAAAGAATTTCCTTGAACTCATCCATTTTTTATAGCTTCTCAAGGAAAAAGAAATAGATAATTTAGCGAGAGCCTGTGCAGGAAGAACTGCAGAATGGGGACAGAAATGGGGTGAGGAGCATATGTGTGACTATCAGACCCAGCACCCCAGCAGGACGGGCATTCCCATTTGCTCCCACCCTGCACGCAGCACTCGGGGCACCCATGGGGCCGGGGCACCCACCCTGGTAGTGCAGCTGGAAGGTCCCCACCGCCTCGTCCTGGAAGGTGCGGAAGTAGACGGAGATGGTGTTGGTGGGGCTGCGGATGACCTGCCCTTCCACCAGCAGCGTCTGGTTGGCCAGCACCACCAGTGTGTTGTCATCCACGCCACGGATGGAAAGCACCTCCCCGTCCGACAGGTTGACGCTCTTCACCTGGGTGGGAGGAGAGCCATGGGGCTGCAGGACAGCATCTAGGGACATATGGGGGGTCACCCCCACCCCCAGGCGTGAAGAGCACCCACTCATCACAGCACTCATGTAGGGCTCATGGCTCACTGCACACCCAGTGCACCACAATCCCTCCCCATTCCCATCTTGGGTTGGGGAGTCCCAGCAAACGCTCCTAATGAGCGGTCCCAACAGGCTTTGATTATTATTTGGAAATAGCTGTGAAGTAACCTCACATTTGCATTTCATGTCCATTCAGCTTAATAAATGGGCTCATATTTCAGCAGAAAGATGCTCATCAGATCATTTGTTTCTTTAAGTGCACGAGGACTGGGGATCTATATTTAGCACAGCCACAGCCTGTAATTGCAAACCCTCTCGACGGTGTTGTGACGGGAAGGGTTTGTTGCTGTTGTCACAGCATGCCCATCTCCCCGCCCCGCTGCGTGGAGCACAGATGTGCAGAGCCCATGGGAGCCCAATGCTGGGAGTTGCAGGGCCATCTGGTGTGCACTGCAAGGATTGGGGCTTCCTGGGTGGGACGGCCCTAAGACTGTCACATAGCATCCCCCCCTGCCCCAGCAGCCCCTCAGCACATGGCACCAGGAGTAGCTGCATCCTCATCCCGCTGCCTGGCTGCATTCGGTGCTGCAGGAGGGGCCAAGAAGGGTCAAAGCTAGCCAGGGTGCAGAATGGGGACTTGTACCCAGGAGAAGCTTATGCTTTATTTTGCAGAATCACTGCTGATGGTGCCCTGCCAGGGGCTGCGGAGCACAGGTTCTGCTGCGATCAGAGCCAGAACCCATGTCAGCTCCTGCAGAGCCTGCCGGAGAGGCAGGAGGAATCCTTGGTTCAGGCTGCCAGGCTTGCTCACCCACTAGAAAATCTCTTTAGGGAAATTCTATTGCCTGCCAAGAAAATTCAAGGTTCTTAAAAACAATGACAATTTTGTCAAATATTCTCAGCTTTGGCTGCTCTGCTCTCAAACTGCTGCAAAAAGGCGCGGGGACAGAGTGTGCTGGGGCTGCTGCAGGATGCTGTGAGAACAACGGGGATGCTGGGGGGGCTTGGGACCCCCAACCCTGGTGAGACATCCTGCTGCAAGCCAAGCAAGGACCTGACTCAACAAGAATCAGGATCAGCCCTTTGGGAAGCAGAGGATCTCTGTGCTTGGGGTTGCTCAGCCCTCCCCATGCTGCATCCTGGCAAACCCAGAGGAAAGTGGAGCCCTGAGTTCACTGCCTTTCTTCTCCCCGCCCAGCGAGGTGTCCCCGCTTGTCTCCATTACAGGAGCTGGGAATTAAATCAAAATCACTTAAACATTATCCAATTATCCCCATCACTGTGTCAGAACTGAGGAAGTTGCACTGTGTTACTTCAGCACCTGCCCAATGTAATTAGCTGCAGTGCCACTGGTTCACACTGCTGGTACATGTGAAATAATTAAAAAGTGATGGAGGAAAATCCGCCAGCCCCTGGCAAGGCAAGGGGGGCTCAGGGGTGTGCGGCCACTTCCCCATGGTGGCACTGCCCCTCAGCCAGGGACAAGAAGCAGCACTCACACTCCCCCCAGCCTCAAACCAGCTCTCCAGAGAGGCACAGCTAGCATCACTGCCTCCCTGCGCTAATTACTCCCAAAGTGCAAGGGATGGTGGTGGCACTGAGAGAGTCCCTTGGACCCCAAGGGGAGAAAATGGGGCAGATGTGGGGGCTCCCATTCTCCCCATGCACTACTGTGTGCCCTGGCACATGGGATGGCCCAGGTCCCGCCCGGACCCAGCACAAGCAGGGTAGGATGGTGCTTTTGTGATTTCATTTCTCTGAAAGCCTCAGAAACAGCAGCAAAATGAAACCCAGGGCTCCGGGGGAGTGGGGAGGGGTACTGCAGCATGAGCATGGGGGCAGAGCTGAGGTGATTCCCCGACGCACTTCTCACCTGCAGCTCCACGCCATAGCCCGTGTAAACAGTGACGTTGTAGGTGCACTCCAGGAAGCTGTGCCGGGGCAGCGGGGGATAATCCGTGGAGTCGATGTAGCCCTCGGGGTCGTAGAAGCTCACACTGCAGCGCACTGGGGGATGCACATCAGTGGCTGCCCAGGGCACAGCTCACCCCCCTCCAGCAGCACGTCCCACCTCACTTCCAGTTTGGGTGAGAATCTGTGCTGAGGGAGCGACCCTCCTCTCCAGAGGTCCCTGGGGTGGTGACACCCTTCTCAAGCACCCCTTGCCGCAATCACTAAGGATTTTGGCAGCTCCAGAAGGCAGATTTGCCCCCCACCACTGTCATATCCCCACCCCATATCCCACTCCCTGGTGGCACCGCGTCCCCGTGTTCCCTTACCCGGGGTGGGCTCCGTGGTGATGACGGTGGTGGTGATGATGGTGGAGGTGGTGGTTTCTTGGCTCTCCTCTGAGGCAGAGCCATTCATCTCGCTCTCAGCGCTGTCCATCTGGTTAATGGCACCACTGGGAGCTGCCGTGGGACCCGTGCTCATGTCACCAGGGCCATCAGGGAAGGGCCGACCAGTCGATGGCGGTGGGGTGGAAGGGGAGATCTGCAGCAAGGGGCGGCTGGTGGGACCCCATCCGAGCAGCTCGGGGGGGCTCTGCCGCTGCCCATCCGCTGTCTCCATTGTTACAGGCGGCTCTTGGGAGGACAGGGGGAGCACGGAGCCCCGTGTGCTCACAACCCTGGAGAGCCCTGGCAACGTGGGCTTGGTCTTCAGCTGCTTCCTTGCTGTGTTGCTGTGCTTTAGGGCAGGCGGTTTTTTCTTAGCAGGGAAAGTCTGCTTGGTGTCAGCCCCGGGGTCTGTGGTGGGTGCTGGCAAGATATGGCTCTGTGCATGCAGTGATGGTCCCTCCACTGCTGGCCTGGGGCTGTCCTCAGCAGCAGGCAGCAGGTTGAAGGCTGCACTCTGTCTGGGTCCCCCCATATTTGCTTCATCCACAGGCAGTGGATGAGGGCTGGTGGGGAGAGGCGTTGCCTCGGGGCGGCCATCTGCAAAAAGAATGGGGAAAGTTGGACTGAGTGATGCTGGGCATGAGATCAGGGCTGTGCTGTGGCATGGAATCAGCCCTCTGGGAGCTGCAGCTGGTGGAGAACCCGCTGTCTGCTAATTGTGGGGAAGCAACAATGAACCTGTGCTGATTCCCTGAAAGTTGGGTTTCTGCTGGAACCGCATTGCGCAGTCTCAGAGCCGCTGTTTGGTCTCTTTATCTCGAGGTCAGCTGCTCAGAGAGGTCTGCTTGCTCGTGCCGAGTTTGTTCTCTGGCTTGGCCTCTATGAATAGCCTTTATTTGTGCAATTGTCATCAGTAAATACTGTCATTTCAAAGAGCCTGATTAGGCCATGCCATCCCCCATTGTCTTCCCCGCTGCCGCCTGATGGAGAGCAGCTGCCCCGCTGCCTGGCATCAGCGCACAACTCAGGATTGAAAAGCCTCTCCCTAGGCAGCCCCGACCTTCTGCTCCGAGCAGGGCAGCCTGCAGGAGACAAAGAGTCCCCAAAGCCCCGCTACCACCGAGCGTAATTGTGAGAAGCACAGATGTATTCACCAACACCGGGTCTGATTGGGCTGCAGCCCACGGAGTACAATAAGCCCCGAGCAGCACCGCAGCTTTGTGAAGTGCTGCACAAAGCGGAGAGTCAACGTTTTCCATGGAAACAGCAGTCGCCATGAAAGGAGCTCAACATGCGGCGGTGACTGGGGTGTGCTGTGCTCCTGTAGGACCTGCTGCAGGGTCCTACATGTGGTCCTACCACAGCTGGGTGCTGCCTCCCCCAGCGCACACATCAGGGAGAAATGGCCTCATGTTGCACCAGAGGAGGCTCAGGTTGGGTATTAGGAACAATTTCTTCTTTCAGAGAGCAGTGATGCACTGACACAAGCTGCCCAGGGGGTTGGTGGGGTCATCGTCCCCTGAGGTGTTCAAGGAATGTGTGGATGTGGCACTGAGGGATGTGGTTATGTTTACATACTGGTGGTGGGTTGGGGTTGGACTTGGCGATCTTAGAGGTCTTTTCCAACCCTAAAGATTCTGTGGTCAGTGAAAAGGGACATACAGTGGCACTGGGCTGGGTCTCTGAGCATCCCATCCTGCTGCTCCCTGCACCAAGCAGGGGGCACAGTGACACAGCAGGGGCTCCTGCAGGGACCCGCACCCCTGAAGTCACAGCGATAACAGAAACAGCAAAAATAAGCCCTCGGTTATTTGCCATGTGAATTCATATTCATAATGGATGTTGCTGTTAAGTCGTATTTTATGCTTTTGGAAAGTTGACTAATTTCTTATTAGATCCTTTGCCAGGAAGCATTTAAATGGTTCTATCCTTAACAAAGCATGAAATAAAACACTCTGTAGCACGGCCCCGTAATGAGGTACTTAACATGCTTCAGTTTGTAAAGGGCAAATGTGTATTTCAAAGAAGCGAATGCTGGCCGGGCTGGGGCAGGGTGGTGAGGGCTGCAAGAAGGAGAAGTGACCAGCGATGTTAATTCAGATTGCCATGGCCAAACCAGCCCTGTGTGTCCCCAGGTGCAGGAATGAGCTCTGCCCCAGGCTGGATAGGCTGATGGCTGCCTGCTTGGCAGCAAATCCCTATTGCCCTTGTAAGGCCTCGTGGTGGTTTCACCTCTGCACTACAGATGCCCTTTCAGATGATGTATATAGGCAAATATTTGAGGGAAAAAAAATACTGCAGGAGCCTCCTGCCAGCCGGGTGGGAGGAGCAGCAGGACCCTGCCCGGCTGCAAATCCCTTCTGCTCCGCACAATCGATCCGGAGATACTGAGCTGCTGGGAGAGACATGATCGTGTTTGACCTTGATCTAATCTGCTAAACCAGCTCTGGAGAAAGGAACACTATCACAGCATACAAGGGGTTTATCCTGCTGCTTTATCTTGAATGCGTTGCGGCTGCCTGCAGGCTGCGAGGGATCTGCTGGGGCAGCGGCTGTGTTTGCAGCGCTGGGGCTGGGGTGCCAGCAGGATGCTCTACAGGGTGATGAGACTCTGCTGCACCAAATGCCCAGGAAAGTGTGGAGCAAAAAGGACCTGATGCAAAGCGGCAGCTCCTCCCTGGGCTATTCTGGGATCCGCTGTGTGAGCAGAGGAAGGAGCTCAGCTCAGAGGATGCCTCCACTCCCCCGTGCTTCATATTAGCCGCAGTAGGAAGCGCTCTCTGCAGGGCTGGGGCTGGGGAGGCGGCAGGGGCAGCTCCAGAGGGAGTGGGGCTTTGGGGTAGCAGTGCCCCCCCGTGTGCATGTAGGACAGCATCCACCCACCCATCTAGGGGCTGTTGGGTTTTATTGCAGTTTTGAAAGCTTCTGTTTTCCTGCTGCTGAGAAACAGATCTGCTCACTGCCCATGAACTGCATGTGTGCAGCGCAGTCTCCCTGTTGTGGTTTGGGGTTTCCTACAATGACCCAGATGCACCAACAGTATGAAATGTTGCGTAGTGAGCAAAGCAGTGAACGAGGCTGCACGGCCATGCGACACAGAACAAACCAATTAAATGCAAGCTGAAGCTCTCCCCTTCATCACAGTTCCATTCACTATCAGTTCCTGTTCTCCATAACAGTGAAATGGGTTTCTCAGCACTCCAAGGTCACAGCAGTCCCCACAGTGATGGGTCTGTGTCACTCAGCCAGTGATGGCACGTGCCCAGTGCTGCTGCGGGGAGCAAGGAGATCTGATTGCTGCCAGCACCTCAGCTGGAGGGGCTTAGCAGAATTAGGGAGCTGCAAGCGCTTGATAAAAGGATGCTGAAATAATCATCAGGCACTCATTTTGCTGCAGCGCTCCTGAACGAGCCGAGCTGTGAGTGGCTGCATTGCTGGCTTCCCAACGCTAAGACGATGCTATCGCTGCCCAGGAACCAGAGCACTGTGGATTGATTGCTAGGGCTCATATCTCTGTCCTAAAGGCTTTAGTGAGCTGATTATAGCCGAGCCTTGAAGAGCTTACAGGTATGCTATTAATGGTGCTGCTCATTCTGGTGCTGGGCTCCGGCAGGTTGATTGGTGCTGAAGCTGCTGCAGTGGTTTCTGGTGCTGGGTGGCCCTGCAGCCCCCAAGGGAAGGAGAAGGTACATATCCTATGCAGCACCAGGAGGGTTTCGCAGCCATGGAGAGGGGAAAAGACAGTTTGAGTGTGAAGCAGGGATCTGATGAAAAAGCAGCTTGGATCCATCCAAGCCCACCGGCTCAACGGTTGGGAAATGGTTTGGTTTGGTGTCAAATTTTAAAACAATTTTTTGCCTTAAATCTTGAAGAGCAGGAAGAAGAAGAAGAAAAAAAGCCTGAATCAAAACAGTCTTTCATTTCCAAAGTGTCAAAACAGAGCGACGCTGCCTGGATCTCCACGTGCCTCCCAACAGGAAACATGCATCCCGCTCCTTCCTGTAGTTACTATTTTAGCAAATCAACTTTTTCCATTGGAAATAAAAAAAAAGAAAAAGTTTCCCTAAGCACATCCTGGCAGTCTGACCCATAAGCAAATAAAATAGGAGCCATCTAATCACAGTGAGTCATTCGTGTGGGTGCGCAGATAAGCGCGGCCGGAGGAGGAGCCCCTGGGGTCTGCATGGTGGGGCAATGCGATGGGATGGCTCCGGGATGGGTCTGGGCTGCTGTGTGCTGCAGGGATGCTTTGTGTTCCGAGGGCTGTGGTCAAAACATTTGATTTTAAAATTTACATCTGTGTCACCGGCAACGCTCAAATAAGGTTGCCATGGAAACGCCTCATTACTGGTGGAGGATGCTGGCGATGGAGGAGCGCGGTGGGCAAGGAGGGCACTGGGACATGGCACTGCCTCACCCATGCTGTCCCTCTGTATGTCTGCACACTGGGAGGAATACAGCCCTGAGCCTGGTGGGATGCTGTCTGGGCACTGCCCTGCATCCCAGGGATGGGGTCCCCTGGTGGTCTCCTGGTTGTCCTAAAGGGAACCCAGACGCATGTCACCATCTGCACACAGGCATGGCAGGGCTGGCCGAGGTGCTGTCTCCCGCCGTGCCTGCAGGCTGAAAGAAATCCCTTTCCAAATACATTTGGCTAAGCTCGGGGCTGGCCCTGGGCTCAGGTGGAGATTGCTCTGGGGTGGGGGAGCATTTTGGCCACTGAAAGCCACCCTAACAGAGGACCCATGCTGCTCGTGCCTGGTTTGTTTCACTGCCACAAATACAGGAATTACACTTGCAAACATCCTTGCCATGCTTCAGAGAAGCTTGTAACTGCTCTAACGATCCGCAGCCGCCTGACAGATGCCTGGAAATTATACACTTCTCCGAGCTATGAGGAAAATGGATTTTCCTCCCCAATGCTGCGCCATGGAGCTGGAATCAATGCGCACTTCACTCGCAGGCATCGGTTTCAGCCATGCCAGCTCCCTGTTCATGCTCCCCATGTCCCTGCAATGCCAGCACTGACACTTAGGGTGTACATCACACCTCCCCATACAGTTACCCTGATCAGACGAACCTCCTCCCTCCCCTCCAGCCCCAGCAGGACAGGATCCCAGCCCGAGCCCCACGGGGCTGCCCACACCATGATGTGCTACCATGCTGCACCCCAGCAGCAGCCCTCAGAAAGCACTCTAGCAGCATTTCAGGCTACAAATTGGTCTGGGGGAAGAGAAGTGCCTTCTTTCTCAACTAATCATCCAGCTCAGTCATCTATATCTGGGTATAAAATTAAATGGGTTCCTGAAGAGAGAGTATATTTAGACACAAAAAGCCCATTCTAGTCATCTATCTGGGACTAAAATAATTAATCTTCCATCTCTATTAAGATGCTCTGTAGCAGATCTCAGGAAGCACGTGCTGCTGTTAACCCTTTGGGGACTGCCACGTGCCCACCATCGCTTCATGCACAGCTGTGGGGTCAGCCGAGATCTCCCACTTTTGCTGGGGAACTCGTCCCAAGAAATTCCTTCCTTTGCATTTTCTCCCCTCGCAGAGGCCGTGCAAAACCTCCCCGCCTGCTGCCTGCCACT